AAGAAAAAACTATGACAGGTATTGAAGTGAAGGACAGTTGCAGATCTACTACTCCACCATCATACCCAGAAGTGGAACAGCCTACTCAGGGTTCATGCTCTGGATGGTCCTTTTGTCTGGGAACATGGAAGCAAGTTCGTTCAGAATTGCAGCTTGCTTACCCTGTGTTCCAAGATCAGCAAGGACCGAGATATCATGAGCCATTGGATTTTAAGATAGTAAAGTTTTTGGCTGAGTCAGTTCGTGATTATGGCATAACAGCTTCCTTTACGCTGGCTCAGGTTGAGGCTCTTAACAGACACTGTATGACACCTAGTGACTGGAGCAGATTGGCTCGCACATGTCTAAGCCCAGGGCAGTATTTGGATTGGAAAGCCTTTTTAATTGAATTTGCCAACGAGCAAGCTGCCGCTAATCAGCCTGCAGGAAATCAACATTGGGATAGGAATGTGCTACTTGGACAAGGTACATTTGCAAACATGCAAACAGGATATCCAGTACAGGTGTTTGAACAAGTAAATCAGATAGCCATTAAGGCTTGGAAATCATTGCCAAATAAAGGAGAAGTGAGTGGCAATCTTACCAAGATCATGGAAGGCCCTATGGAACCTTTTTCAGACTTGGTAGCAAGGCTAGTCGAAGCTGCTGGAAGGATTTTTGGAGACCCAGATACAGCCATGACCCTTACTAAGCAATTAGTCTATGAACAATGTACCAAGGAATGCTGAGCGGCCATTACACCTTACAAGAATAAAGGCCTAGAGGCATGGATGAAAGTCTGCCGAGATTTAGGTGGACCCTTAACTAATGCTGGTCTTGCAGGAGCTGTGCTTCAGTTGACACAAAACAAAAGAGAAAGTTCCGGTGTCTGCTATAAATGTGGTAAACTAGGACATCTTAAGAGGCAATGCGCTGAAAGAAATAGTACAGGCAATGCAGAAAGCAGCCAGCACCCCCGAATGCCGGGGGTTTGTCCTAAGTGTAAAAAAGGAAAACATTGGGTGAACGAGTGTCGCTCTGTCAAATACAAGCCCTTAACTCAAAACCATCAATACCATGGTGGTGCCCGTCCACAAAACAGCCAGTGGGGCCCCCATCCCCAGAGCCCACAAATATATGGGGCTATGTAGGATCCACACAATGAGAGCGAGGAAAGATGGCCTACCCTTCGTCATCCAAGGGACCATGGAGAGCCACTACAGGCTCCGCAGGATTGGACCTCTGTTCCACCACCAGACTTGTATTGACCCCTCAAATGGGAACTCAATTAGTTGAAACAGATTTTCAGAGACCTCTTGAACCTGATAAAGTTGGACTCTTGCTGGGGCATTCATCGTCTGCTCTGAGAGGATTGATAGTTCACTCTGGAGTGATTGATCCTGATTATACCAGGATAGTAAAAATCATGGTATATGCTCTGAGAGGGTTAGTTGTTATTTCTCCTGGGGATAGAATAGCTCAGCTACTTGTGTTGCCAAGCCTTCATGGTAGATATACCTCTAAAGGAAAAACCTGAGGTGAACGCGGATTTGGATCCTGAGGAACAGATTTGACATTTTTGTCTCTAGACTTGGACCAAAGACCTGTAGTAGAGCTTGTATTAGATGGAAGGAAAATACTTGGTCTTTTAGATTAGGGATCAGACAAGAGCATAGTCACAAGGAAGGACTGGCCTGCAGGCTGGCAGATACAAGCCTCTTCTCAGGCCCTACAAGGCTTAGGTTATGCAAAATCTCCAGATATGAGTGCAAGACAGCTAAACTGGAAAGATCAAGAGAGCCATTCTGTAGTTATACAACCCTATGTTTTGGAACTTCCCATTTCCCTATGGGTAAGGAACATTTTGAAGGATATGGGCTTTAAGTTAAGCAATGAATATTCTCTTACTTCACAAAAATTGATGCAGGATATGCGTTATCACCCTGGATTTGGATTATGAAAGTTTCTGCAAGGGCGCAAAGATCCTATCGATACCCAGCAAAGAAAAAATAGACAAGGACTGGGTTTTTCCTAGGGGCTGCTGAGGAAGGAGTTCCTACTACATGGAAGACAGAGGAGCCTGTATGGGTTCCTTAGTGGTCACTTTTCTCTGAAAAGTTGTGTGCCGCAAAAAGTCTCATTGCCGAGCAGTTGTCCTTGGGACACATTAAGTCATCTGTATCGCCCTCGAATACACCCATTTTTGTAATTAAAAAGAAATCTGAAAAATGGTATCTATTACATGATTTAAGAGCCATAACTCATCAAATGCAAAATATGGGGCCAGTGCAGTGAGGGCTATGGCTGCTGTCATCCTTGACGTTCTCCTGGCCCTTAATAGCCATTGATATTAAGGATTGTTTTTTCTCCATTCCTTTATGTGCCAGGGATAGTGAAAAGTTTGCCTTTACTGTACCATCATGCAATCATGAAGAGACCGATAAACGATTTGAATGAGTGGTTTTACCACAGGAAATGGCAAATAGCCCTACTATGTGTCAACTTTATGTCGGAGAGGCTATTGCACCATTAAGACAAAAATTTCCTGCTGTACGATGCATTCATTATATGGATGATATTTTGCTAGCCGCAAAAAATGAACAAATTTTGGATCAAGCCTATATAGATTTAGTTAAATTATTGGAGAAGAAAACATTATTTGTTGCCCCTGAAAAGGTTCAAAAGAAACAGATTGTAGACTATTTAGGAGCAAGTGTGAGTGAAAAAAGAATTGTTCCTCAAAAGGTTGAATTACAAGAAGATAACTTAAGGACTTTGAATGATTTTCAAAGGTTACTGGGAGATATTAAATGGATTAGATGCTATTTAACACTACCTAATTATGAGATAAAATCATTAAATGATATTTTGGTTAGATTTGCCTTAGATTCTCCTCGTATATTGAAAATGGAAGGTAGACAATCCTTACAAAAGATAGAACAAAGGTTACAAGATGCGTTTTTGAAACGCTTAGATGATAACCAACCTATTACTCTATGTCTTTTCCCAACGTTTTTACAACCCACGGGGCTGTTATGGCAAGGAGGACTGTTATTATGGATTTATCCAAGGAGGTCGGCCACAAAATCCATTGAACAGTATCCCACCACGGTGGCTAAGTTAGCCTTGATTGATATTCAACAATGTTTACATTTTTTGGGATTTCCCCCAAGACAATTATAGTGCTGTATACTATTGATCAAGTGACAGTCCTTTGTGGCACTGTTGATGATTGGGCAATGATACAGTGTGGGTTTGAGGGGGATAGTGATAATCATTATCCCAAACATCCTCTATTAAACTTTTTTAGGAACATCCTCTTGTTTTTCCTAAGGTTACTTCGCCAGTTCCTCTTCTTGGTGCCGCAAATGTATTTACAGATGGTTCCAAGACAGGCTGTGGAGTTTATTTGGTAGAAAGACACGAGCCTGAATTACATCAATTCCAACCAGGATCTCCTCAAGTTATAAAGCTAAAAATTGTGTTAGAAGTATTTAAGGCCTGTACTTTTGCCTTTAATTTAGTATCTGATACAGAGTATGCAGTTAATGCTGTAAAAATTTTGGAAGTGGCAGGACCCATAAAACCTAGTAGTTCAGTCTGCCTCTTATTACAAGATTTACAAAATTTTATTTGGCAAAGACATAATTGTTTTTACGTACAACATATTGGAGCACATACAGGTTTCCCAAGACCTTTGAGTGAAAGCAATAATAAAGTCATCAATGGACCCGAATGGAATGCATTTTTCTCAGTTCTACCTTGGAGAGAGCAAAACAATTCCATAAGAGCTTTCCTGTGAATGCAAAAACCTTACAACAAAAATTTCAACTTTCTCGAGCAGATGATCAACAAGTGGTTTTGGATTGTCCTCAGTTTGTGGTTCATCATCATCCATCTAGTCTTGGAGTAAACCCTAGGGGCTTACTTCCCCTCAAGGTTTGGCAAATGGATGTTACACATATCCCTGAATTCGGGAATCTCAAAAATGTGCATGTATCTGTAGATACTTGTTCAGGAGTTATACATGCTACACCCTTATCTCCAGAGAAGGCTCGCAATGTTGTAACTCATTGCTTGGACGCTTGGGCTGCCTTGTGAAAGCCACAACAAGTAAAGACAGATAATGGACCAGCCTATACAGCTCAAACTTTTGCCTCCTTTTGCGCTATAATGGAGATACAGCTCATTCATGGATTGCCCTATAATCCTCAAGGACAAGGCATAGTAGAACGTGCTCATCATACATTAAAGGAATGCCTACAAAAACAAAAAGGGGGAATAGGCTATGGTTGGAACCCAAGAGAAATACTTTCCCTTGCATTATTTACTATTAATTTTTTGAATTCGGATGCTCAAGGCCGCTCTGCAGCTGATAGACATCAAGACACTCATAGCCCCTCCAAAGGCATGGTCAAGTGTAAGAATATTTTGGCAGGCCTATGACATGGGCCTGATCCCATGCTGGTGTGGGCACAAGGTTCTGTTTGTGTTTTTCCACAGTATCAGCAAGATCCAGTGTGGGTGCCAGAATGGTTAACCAGAAAGGTACAACATGAAGAACGTCCCGCCCGGGCTTATGATGGCCTTCCTACTTGTCCCCATGATGATAATCCAGCCAGGGAAAATGAAGCCAAGATGGAGGATTTTAGTCGGTGTTCCCAAAGCCAATGCCAGTGATGTATAATGCTCAAGTTTTTCCTTGTCTTTTTGCTAGTAATAGAAGTTTGGGTGTAGCATATTTGCCCTTAGATAAGCAGATTAGCCCTATAGAGGGTAATAGAAATATTAGTTTGAAGGGTAGTTTGTGTTTTGCTATTATTAATAATATTAGTTTAGATAATGAGTGTGTAGAATTGTTTTAGTCAGACAAAATATCTTTTTCTTCTATTCCTATTTGTGTTTGCCCCCATTTTGTGTGGTTAGTTAGTAATAGTAGTATAGAGGGAAATTGGTAAAACTGTACCCCAGAAGTGTGTTTTTATGCCCTATGTTGGGATGCTGAGAAATACCCTATAGCGATGGTTACTCGCATGCATCGATATGTGCCACTTACTGTAGAAGTGCCTAACAGTATGACCTTGTTTAGACAAAGAAGAGATTTTGGTATCATGACCGCCATAGTGACTGCCATCACTGTTGCTGCAGTTGGGGCTATTGTGTCCACTGTTGCTTTGTCCAGTACAGTACAAACTGCCTCTGCCTTAAATAACTTGTCAGCGAGTGTGGCTCTTGACCTGGATTTGGAAACATCTCTCAACTCTCAATTAAAGGGGGGTTTGATGATCGTTAATCAGCACATCGACTTAGTGCAGGAACAAGTGGATACAATCTGGCAGTTGGCTCAGCTAGGCTGCGAGTAAAAAAATGCAAGGATTATGTATTACATATGTTCAGAATGCTAATTTTACAAAGGCTGCAAATTTGTCCAAGTATTTGTCCAGTTTTCTTTTACAGAATTGGTCACTTCAATTTGAAGATACTTTGAAGGAGTTGGTGCTGGTAGTGGTCCATGTGAATTCCACTAGAGTGGACCTTTCTTTTGCATCAGGATTGTCGTCTTGGCTGACTTCTGGGATGAACCATATAAAAGAGTGGGTGGGCATAGGAGCATTAACAGGTCTTTTGGTGTTGGTCTCTCTGGCTTTGCTTGTGGTTTCTATGTAAGACTAGAGTCACACAAAGACGCAATGCAGCCATGATCATTCAGGCCTTTACCACTATTGAAGAAGGACAGTCCCCCAGGCATGGTTAGCCACCTTAACAACTAATTAAATACACTCAGGATGCAAGGCAGAGCACTGCACTGTGAGTCAGCTAATAGTGACCCAGAGAAGAGCACATCTAATTGCATGCGGGTTGGTACCCAAAAAGCATCCCGCCTCTGAAAAAGAGGGTATCGCATGGGTCTGATGCTCGTTGGGTGGATGACACCAAATGAAAAATCAGTACAATGTCCCTGTCTATGCCAGAGATCAGACCTCTACTCTTGCCTGTTGCATTTAAAACAAAAAGGGGGGAACTGTAGAGAGCTGCGAAATGCCGTACCTTAAGATGGCGCTGGCTAGGCCAGGCGGTGGTGGCGCATGCCTTTAATCCCAGCACTCAGGAGGCAGAGCCAGGCAGATCTCTGTGAGTTTGAGGCCAGGCTGGACCAATAGCCTCCAGAACAATACGGAGAAACCCTGTCTCGTAAAAACCAAAAAAAAAAAAAAAAAAAAAAAAAAAAAAAAGATGGCGCTGGCTTCCACCTTCTGCCAGCCCAACAGCAAGTGCTCTCTGTGATAAACAACTCCTTATTTTGTCAAGGCTGGATATCAGGCTGGCTTCCACATACATGGATCTATCTGCATGTTCCACGTGGTATATTAGGGTTGGCCGCCCAAGGGCTTTTAAGCTGTGGGCGGGCACTCCCCGGGGTCAGAAGATTGTTCAAGGTTCCTGAATAAACTGCTTAAAGAAGAGTCCGAGTGTTGCATCTTCCTTGCTGGTCAAGACAGTCATGACAACCATAGACTGATCCAGTGAGCTGGAGTCATGCTTATGCCCCTCATCTTGGAAAAACTGCAGTTAACTGCTTCAGTTTTAACAGATAAGACACGTGGCCAGAAAAACATAAAGGTTTACAGTAAAGTCAGACTTGGATGACGAAAAACCTCTAAAGATTTACAGTGTGTTTAAAAGTATATGTAGGATTGAGAGAGAAAAGAAACAGAATAACGATAAATATATAGAGAAACGGCTGTGGTGGGCCAAGCCGGTAGGTTTTGCTGCAAAGGGAGAGACAGGCAGATTTCCAAAGAGAAACCCTGTCTCAGAGAAAAATAAATAAAAGTAAAAGAATTAGAATAAAAAAATAATAGAAAAACAAGCCACGTAAATATGGAAAATGCGCAGAAAGTCTGGATACTGTGGTTTTCAGTTTTTGATTGCTAAGGAAGGAACAACTGCTAAAGTACACTTGATTATGAATTCTGATGAATTAATTCAACTTATATTTTTGAAAGTGCCTTGAATTCAAAATTTAAGTGTAAGGATATGCTACTTAGGAATGGAGTTTTTATTTATGTTTCTACAGAAAATGAAAAGCTGAGGATTTCTTCTAGGCTTATGTGGTTTAATGAACCAAGACCCCCAGAAGCAATGGCCCAAGTGATTTCAACATCTGAAACAGCTAAAATGATGCAGATCCTGAAACTAAGGACTTATACAGGTTTCTGAGTTTCTGTCATCATCCCCATGGAATGAACAGTGCCCCCTTCCAGCACGAAGCAGTTTGGAATGTGCGATGTCCTAATTCCCATCTTGTTTATAAATCTTTGTTTTCATTTAAATGGGATTGTTTATAATGATCACAACCAATATCATTTTAAAGAAAAAGGGGATTATGGTATGGAAATGAACACTTTGTATTGGTATGGATTTTCATTTATTGAGACAAATTCAAGGTCAATTTTGTGATATGTGTATATTTTGCCTCTTGATTAAATATTGTACTTATGCTGTTCTTTTAAAATGTAATGCATAATTAAATACAGACTATAGATATTTACTTATAATAGTCATAATTTATAGTTATGTAAGTTACATTTTCTAGACAGATAGGTAGACAGTCTTCACACCTTTCAAAGACCTTCAGAAAATGGCATTTAAAATGGTTTAGGGTTTTTCTTGATAATGAGAAATGTCTGCTCCTGGCACATCAATTACATCTGAGAGGAAGATGGGCATCAAAGAGTTTGCTTTCAACATGGCAAGATTAGCCATTAGGGAAAGAAACTTCTCTTGCATAGACTGTTTGATTGTTGCTGTATAATCTGGATATGCAGGACCAAATAGGCCTTCAGGGTTCCTGCTTCATGGAAGAGTATACAAGACTTTATGCAGGACACAGAAAAATGACTGACAGACTGCTGATGCAGATGGACAGTTTGAAATTTCCTGCTTTGCTGAGAAGATTTCTGGACACATTGTGGCCTATGGGCTGAAGATGGATGCCCCAACATTACAGAGGAATTTCAGGTGACTGTCCATGCAGCAAGATGTCTCTGTCAACGCTAGTGTTTATGTATTATCCTTCTGTGGACTTTAATAGAGTTGAAGGCAGATAGTTATAGATATACTTTTCCTAAGTTGTGATAAAAGATAAGCTACATATAGGACTTTGGACTCACAGGATGAGTGATTATATGGCATGTGGGATGGGATGCACCTCATATGGTGGTAGGGAAAGGCCTGAAGAACATCACAACTTTAGGCACTTTATTATTAAAAGGTGAGGAGAATAGGAAATCTTGTCTGTTAAGAAGCAGATTTTTCACATTACAGTACAGAGAGGAAGAGAAAAAACTGTGGGTCCTCTGGTGGGATTGCCAGGTAAAGTACATGGCTATCCTCTGTTGATACCAGTGTGGGAAGAAAAATAAGTATCCTGGTCCTCTAGTGGGATGTCAAGGAAAAATACGCTGCTTCTTTCTTGAGAGGAAGGGTGCACACAAGTACTGCACATTCCAGAAGTACCTGTCTAAGCACCAGCTGTGGCTTTCTCTTTCCATCATCCCATGGTCCATGGGCCACCAAGTCATGAGGACAAAAGTAGCAAAAGTGTCTAGTAGGACTTTGTATGGCCTGTGACTATGGCAAAAACAGCTTTATAGGAAACAGCTTCAGTGAGACAGATGAACCTTATTCCAGATTTTGGGGAGATATAAAGGATGGGGACAATGCCGTGAATTCCTCTTTTATTCAGGCACTGTTGACCACTTTTTCATGAAGGAGGAGGGAAAGTCATCAGGGAACGGAGTTAAGAGGCCTTGGAAGTATGATGAAAACAGCCTTGCCTGCGATGGCTTCGGTGAAACAACTCAACTTTATTTCAGAGTGCAGTGAGATATAAAGAATGGGGACAATGGCTGGAGCATCACGTAAATTGCATTAAATAGCATGGTTTTATCATAATAGTCAAAGCAAAAATCCTAGTTACCATATATGGTAGCCAGCAGAGGGTGTCTGCAAGGAATGGTGTCAAGGGTCATGCTTGACATAAGTCAGACATTCCGGCTCAGAGTTAACTCTAAATAACGTCATTTAGAAAAGAGTAAACCTGTGCTAGTGAAAGGGAGTCTTCCTATCTCATGCTGAGCTTGAAGAAAGCTGTTGGGTAATGATTAATTTCAACCTTTAACCAGAGGGGCCCTCCAACATATAATCAAATGATACATGTACATGTAATTGTATGATGGTGTGCATGCACATATTAGGCCACAGAAATAAGTGAGTGTTGAAATCATATTTCAAATTTGTGAGTTGTTTTAACGATCTTGAGTTTGAAACTATGTCTCCCAGGGATATGGAATCTTGAGTGGGAAAAGCTGGCTTTATAGTGAGCCCCGAGATCTGGTCCCTCCATCCTCCCAGTTCTGGTTCTACAAGCATGGACAGCTTTGATTGGCATTTTGACATAGTTTGGGGGATGGAACCCAAATTCCGGTGTTTCTTCATCAAAGATATTTTGAACCAAGATATCTGTCCATCCTCTTAAAAATTTTAAGAACAAAAATGAGTGAGCCTAACTCCGCCAAGACCAAATAGCTACACAAGGAAATATTGACAATAAATACTAGCATGAATTCAACAGGTATATCTGTTTGCATATGCATTGAAATTTGGAAGCTAAATTAATGTGCTCATGATTAAAATCATTAAAGAGATTACACTATAAGTTTGAAAAACAGAATAGAATTTTGATTGCAAACCAACCACTTTTCTTGAGAGTTTTGTGGATTTGGGGAGACTAGGAGCAATAGGGAAAGCTATGATATTGTCAGCATCTGAAATTTTGAACTGATGTGGTCAGCACTGATGTATCTGTCAGTTACAGATATGTTAGATTTGGCCTGTCACAGCATTGTTCCTCATGATGCCATTTGTCAGGAGCTTCAAGAACATTAAGTGTTTATTTTTAAGTTACTGTCATGGATACTTTCCTTTAACTAAGGGCAATCTAATTGCAAAAGCCACTTAACTGAAAATATGACTACTCATTAGCATCAAGAAATAGGTGTGTGCACTTTGTTACTGAGTGTGATTCAAGAGAATGCTATGTAATATTCAGTAAGGATTCTTGCCACTTTCTTAGGATTTATAAAAATTCTTCTTATCCATTTGTCTCATTTTATTTTCCTTTTAGTAACTTATAAGATGGAGTCTCTCAGGGATCACAACTAGAAAAAGAACAAAGGTTGTTTCTTCAGTACAGAAAGAATGCAAATGGCCATCCATATATCTCTGCAATGTCTTCAACCATCATATCTCAATAAATACTGCTTGCTGTCTATGAGACCCTGTCTTCAAACCCAG